CTGGGAGAGCTCTCTTCCTGATCTGCAGATGGCTGCCTTCTTGCTGTATCCTCACATGACAAAGAGATCATCTCTCTTGTGTCTCTTCTTATGAAGGCACTTAATCCCATTCATGAGGGCTCCACCCTCATGACCTAATTCCCTCCCAAAGGCCCTACCACCAAATAGCATCCCAATGGGGATTATGGCTTCAACATTTGAGTTCTGGAGGGACAGAAACATTCAGTCCAGTGCACAACCCAATTAAAAACTGAGCAAAAGATCTCACCAAGGAAGATACACAGATGGCAAATACAAATAAGCACATGAAAAGATCCTCAACATTTTATGTAATTAGGGTATGAGATATCACTATACACCTATCAGAATGGCTAAAATACAAGACACTGACAAGACCAAATGCTGAGGAGGATGTCGAGCAACACAACTCTCGTCCATTGCTGGCAGGGATGCAAAGTGGTACAGCCACTTTGGAAGACAGTTTAGTAGTTTCTTATGAAGTCAAACATAGTCTTACCACATGATCTAGCGATCATGCTCCTTGGTATTTACCCAAATGTGTTAAAAACTTATGTCCACACAAAAACATGCATACAAAAGTTTACTGCAGCTTCATTCTTAAAAACAACTAAGATGTCCTTCAACAGGTGAAATGGATAAACATCGTTTGATACAGCAATAAAGAGAAATGTGCTATCAAGCCACAAAAAGTCATGGTGGAACCTTAAATGGGTATTGGTATTCCAACTATATGACATTCTGCAACAGGCAAAACTATAGACAGTAAAAAGATCAGTGGTTGCCAGTGGTCTGTGGGAGGGAAGGAAGAAGAGAGGACCAGATGGAGCATGGGAGTTTTGGAGCAGTGAAACTATTCTGTGTGATATCATAATGATGACTATATGACATTATACATTTGTCAAAATGCAAATACTGTACAATGTGAAAAGTGTACTCTAATGCAAACTATGTATGCTAGTTAATAGTGTATCAATATTTATTCATCACTTGTAGCAAATGTACCACATTAATGAAAGATAATAATATTAGGAAAAATTGTAAGAGGGGAGGAGCATATGGGAGCTCTCTCTACTTTCCACTCAGTTTTTCTATAAACTCAAAACCTCTCTAAGAATAAAATCCATTAATTAAAAAGCAAGCAAAAATGTTCTTTAACCAAAGGCAGGGGCACTATTATTTAAAATGTCAATGTCATAAAAGACAAAGAAAGGCTGAAAAACAGGTCCAGATTAAAGAAACTTAAAGAAATATGGGGGTCCGGCCCTGTGGCCAAGTGGTTAACTTTGCACGCTCTGCTTCAGTGGCCCAGGGTTTCACCGGTTCAGATCCTGGGTGCAGACATGGCACTGCTCATCAGGCCATGCTGAGGCGGTGTCCCACATGCCACAGCTAAAAGGACCCACAACTAAAAATACACAATGATGTACCGGGGAGGGGGAGGGCCTTTGGGCAGAGAAAGGAAAAATAAAATCTTTAAAAAAGAGAAAAAAAGAAACAAGTATGGTAACTACATGCAATAGGTGATACTGACTAGATACTATAGTGGAAGAAAAAAATAAAGGAATCTTATTGGAACAATTGACAAAACTGGAAAAAGGACAGTAAATTAGATTGAAATAGTCAATCAACAAACTTCCTGAAGTTGGTGACTTCAATGCAGCACAGTAAAGGAATCTCCTTATTCTTAAAGAAATACACATGAAAATATTTGGAGATAAAGGATCATGATGTATGTAAATTACTCTCAAATCCTTCAGATGAAAAATTTTATATACATACATACGTAAAGAAGGAGAGAGAAAGCAAAACTGATAAAGTAGTGGGTTGACTAGTGGCCTCCAAAAATCCATGTCCACCTGGAACCTGTGACTGTTACCTTATTTAGATACAGGTCCTTTCCAGATGTAACGAACTAAGATGAGGTTCTGGGTTTGGGCGTCCTTATAAGAGAGGGAAATTCGGATGCACACACGCAGAGGGAAGAAGGCCATGGGAAGATGGAGGCAGAGATTAGACTCACGCTGCCACAGCCAAGGAAAGCCAAGGATTGCCAGCGGCCTCCAGAAACTAGGAAGAAGCCTTCCCTGGAGCCCGAGGAAGAAAACACCTTGGCAACTGCTTGATTTTGGAATTCTAGCTTCTAGAACTGTGAGAAAATAAGTCTCTATTGTTTTAAGCCACTCAGTTTGTGGTACTTTGTTATGGCTGCCCTCTGGAAACTAATATAGTAAGTAACAGGTGACTCTGGGCAAAAGGTATGTGGCTGTTCTTTGTACTATTCATGCCAAGTTTTTGCCCTGTTAACAGAGTCTTTCTCAGAGCAAAAGGTTTTAACTTAGAAGCAAGATTTTTCTAGGTTTGAAATTATTTTCCAAAAGATTAAAGAAGAATACAATAGGACAAATGACTTGAATAGACACTTCTCCAAAAAAGATGGACAAATGGCTAATAAGCACATGAAAAGAATTTATAAAAAAACCCAGAAAATGACAAATGTTGGCAAGGATATAGAGAAAGGGGAACACTTGTGCACTGCTGGTAGGAATGTAAAATGATGTAACCACTAGGAAAAGTGGCATGGCATTTCTCAAAAAATTAAACAGAGAATTAGCATATGATCTGGAAATTCCACTTTGGCTACACACCCAAAAGAAGTGAGAGCAGAGACTCGAATAGGTATTTGTGCACCCATGTTCACAGCAGCGTTGTTCACAATAGTCAAAAGGTGGAAGCAACCCAAGTGCCCATCGACAGATGAATGGATAAATAATATGTGGTAGACACACAGAATATTATATTATTATTCAGCCTTAAAAAGGAAGAAAATTTTGACACATGCTACAACATAGATGAACTGTGGAGACATGGTAAGTGAAATAAGCCAGTTACTTACTATTTCACTTAAATGAGGTCCCTAGAGTAGTCAAATTCATAGAGACAGAAAGTAGAAGGGTGGTTGTCACCGGCTGGGGGAGGGAGAAATGGGGAGATGTTGTTTACTGGGGACAGAGTTTCAGTTTGGAATGACGGAAAAGTTCTGGAGATGGATAGTGGTGATCATTGCACAACAATGTGAGTGTAATGCCACTGAACTATACACTTAACAATAGTTAAAATGGTAAATATTATGTTATGTATATTTTCCTATAAGAAAATACAATAGCTATGTGTACGTGTTTGGAGCTGGGGTGACCTGACAAGCTGATTTTAAGTTTTACGCGAAATGCAAAGTGTCAAGAATAGCTAAAAACTGTTGAAGGAGAACAAGGTGGGAGGATTAACTCCATCAGAGATCAAGACCTGCCCTGACCCTACAGTAACTGAGACAGTGTGACACTGACGTGAGGATAAACAGCAAGGTCAACAGAAGTCCAGAAACAGCCCACACATACATGGCCACTTGATTTACGTCAGCGGTGACAGTGCAGAACAGCACATTTTTAATAAGTAGCTCTGGGACCACTGGATATGCTTATGTAAAACATCAAATTGGAAACAACTTAAATTGGACCCCCATTTTACAGAATCACTTTAGGTGAATTAAACACCCAGACATGAAAGGCAAAACTATAAAGCTTCCAGAAGATAATAGAACACCTATGTGATCTTGCGGTAGGGAAGAAGTTCTTTTAAAACATGCAAAAACTACCATAAATGAAAAGAACTTTAGTCCTGTGAAAAAAATAAGCCACAAAATAGAGGACAGTTAAAACACATAAAATCAGGGGGGCTGGCTCTGTGGCCTTGTGGTTAAGTTTGGCATGCTCTACTTCAGCAGCCCAAGTGCAGGTCCCAGGCACAGACCTACACCACTTGTCAGCAGCCATGCAGTGGCAGTGACCCACATACAAAATAGAGGAAGAGTAGCAGAGATGTCAGCTCAGGAAGAATCTTCCTCAAGCAAAAAGAGGAAGACTGGCAACAGATATTAGCTCAGGATGTATCTTCCTCAGAAAAAAAAAAAAAGACTCCTGAAGCCAGTCCTCAAACTACTTCTGGTCTATGAATAACTCTTACTTAATCCATACTGTATGATGATAGTGCACGGCACTTTTATAAATTTTCATCTCTATTTCTTTTAACATGTGATTTTTCCTATTTTTTGTTGTTAAAGTTTGTATTTTTCATAAAATAATAGTTATTGTAAATGGTAGGTTTTTCAAACATTTTATTACTTAGAAAATAAAAATTTGGCAGAACTAAGTTTTAATGCCTTCTTATTTCTCCTCTCTATTCTCTTTACATTTTCTCTGCTGAATTAATAAACAGAACATTTTTACTAGTATATGAAATTGAAAAGTGGGAACTACTAGCCAAAAGGATTTAACAACCATGTACCTGCACTCAGAGCTCACCAGAGCACGGACAGGAGAAACAACATTGGTTAGAGTATTAGACCCACGCCCCTCCTAGCTCTGTCAGTACTGGCTGTGTGACATTAAAGGTTTTCCCCTCTCTGACCCTCTTATTTCCTCATTTATAATACCTGTTATAGTACCCATTTCATAGAAATATGAAAATTAAATGGGATGATACATTTAAAATGAAATGACGCATAATAGCTACCTAGATGTTTAGTTAATAAAACACTATTAACCATGTGTTTAGTTAATACAATGTTAATACAGTGATGTATGGTGGGAGAGAGTGGGAGGAACTCAGTGGGAGCAGGCCACCTGAGCACAGAGAAATAGATTTAATCCACTGATGTTTAGAACTGCTAGCACATTACGATAATAAAAAGCATTTGATCAATTTCATTATTGTTTTTAAATTCTCTGCAGACCATGTACCCACTTCTTGCCTTCACCAGAATAGACCACAGCAAAAGAGCATCTCCCACCTTCATTCACTCTTTATTAACTGAGCGTCAGGCATAGAGCATGGCAAGGACTCAGAGGGCAGGATCAGAGTACGGTCACCATGTATTCTTAAGTAAACTAAGTGTACTTCTTTAGAAAATAAAAACATTCATTTACCTTTTTTGAATTTATGTACAGGGAGTTTCTTAAGTTGATCTTTACGAAGTCTATTTCTTCTAGCTCTATGTCTATCCTGGACAAATTTTGTGATCTAAAAATAAAAGAGAAAAAAAGGGAATTAGATATTAAATATGCAAATAGGAAATGACCAATATCTTTTAAATAACAAATATCTTCTAAGCTGCTACAAATCAATTCAATTTACTTAAATTCTAATTGCAATATTATTAAAGCATTAAATTACAGTAGTGATTAGTTACCCCATAAATTATTCTTTGAATTTTTGTTCATTGACCTAAATGATTTTTAATGTACTCTGAGAGAAACATTATAAATCACATATGACTATTTATTTGTAAAAATACAGATGGTAGACTATAGGTTACAAAGACTCCTCTGGGTCAAAAAGAACAGGAGGGCTGAAATTCCTATAAGTTACAAACTAGTAAATTTTCAAACATTCACTTATTAGTCACCACACTTTCAGTTCTAGTCGCAAAATAGACAGAACTAACACAGAACGGCTGTACTACAAATATTCAGAAACACTAAATAAAATATATAAAATATTTTTAACTATAAATTACTATGCTTACAAGAATGAAAAGGAAGCCCAGAGGGCGAGAACTAAATGCCAAAAGCAACATCCATAAAATAAAATTTTGACAAATTTGACTGTATTGATGTTAAGGAGTTCTGTCCTCAAAAGACACTGTTAAAAAATAAAAGATAAGCCACAGAGTGGGAGAAAATATTGGCAAATTTCATATCTGATAAGGGCTTTTCATCCAGAATATAGAAAGAACTCAAAATTCAATAAAAAGAAAACAAGAGGAGTGAAGTCAGCATCACGGCGGAGTGAACTTGCCCAGGATTCTCTCTTCTCCAACATATAATGAAAAGGGACATTCCTACTCCAACGGAGGACATCCTAATACAACACAAAAACATCGGAGAGGCATACGCAGCCATATGATGCAGGGCAGAGAGGCTGGAGCCCCCCTCGGAAGAGCTGGAATGGGGTAAGAGAGAACTTCACTCACTCCCCTAAAGACTGCAATCCAGGACCAGGGGTGGCCTCTGAGAGGAAAGGAATGGAAGACGGGATGTCCGTTTGCAGGAACATCAAGGACCCCCAAGAGCCAGTGCAGCCTAGAGGGAGGACCTCTACCAGGGCGAGAGCTTTCGCGGGGGGTGACTTCATCAAGCCAACACCCCAGGAGAGCAGATAGCAAGAGCAGAGCAAGAAAGCCCCAAGAACACGCAGGAGAAAGCTGCCCTCCCCCTACCCGCCCCACACCTGCTCCAAGCCTGGGATCTCAGCTGAAGGCAGAGGGCTCAGAAGACATGGCTCTTGACCCACACCCAGTGGTGATAGCCAGTAACTGCAACAAAATAATATCAGGACACATAAGACAAGAACCACCCCTTCTAGCAATATCAAACATTATATCAAATCTACAGAGAGAAAACGACAAGAATCCAGAATTCAGTCATGAGGACACAGAAATATGTAATCTAAATGACAATGAATTCAAAAGAGTTATCATCAAAAAACTCAACGAGGTAAAAGACAATGTAGAGGAACAATCCAATGAGTTCAAGAGCTACTTCACAAAAGAGATTGAAACTGTAAAGAAGAAACAGTCAGAAATATTAGAGATGAAAGACACAATGGAAGAGATAAAGTATGGATTCCCCAAATGCTCAAGTGGACATCACAGAGGAGCAAACCAGCATAATCAAAGATAGACATGTTGAAATGTTCCTGACAGAGGAGAGAGAACCAAGACTAAAAAGAAATGAAGAAAGTCTCCAAGAAATATCCCACTCAATGAGGAAATGCAACATACGAATTATAGCTTTTCCAGAAGGAGAAGAGAAGGAGAATGGAGCAGAAAATGTGTTCAAAGAAATAATACCAAAGATTTTCCCAAACCTAGGGAAGGAGATGGAAATCTGTGTGGAAGAGGCTTCCAGATTTCCTACATTTGTCAATGTAAAAAGACCTACTGCAAAAGCATATAGTAGTAAAACTGGCAAAAATGAATGACAAAGAAAGAATACTCAGGGCAGCAGGGCAGAAGAAAATAACCTACAAAGGAACCCCTATCAGGCTTTCAGCGGATTTCTCTGCAGAAACCTTACAAGCTAGGAGTGAATGGAATGACATATTCAAATCTTTGAAAGACAGAAATTTTCAGCCAAGAATACTCTATCCAGCAAAAATATCCTTCAGATATGATGGAGAAATAAAATCTTTCCCAGACAAACAAAAGCGAAGGGAGTTCATAGCCACAAGACAACCCCCCCTACAATAAATCATCAAGAAGTCCCGCATACCTGAAAAAACAAAGGGGGTTGAGAAAGGGGTTAGAAAGCATGGAGTAAGGAGATAAATAGGTAGACAGAATCAGAATAGGATAACAAATATTCAACTATAGCATTAGGCTAAAGAGAAGGAAAAAACAAAAAATAAAGATAATCGCCATGTTAACCAAAAACTCACAATACAAAATGGAATAAAATGTGAGAAAAAACAACTTAGGAGGGGAGGAGGAAAGGGACTGAACCGGTCTAGACTAAGGAAATAAGAGGCCATCAGAAAATGGACTACCTTATACACGAGATTCTGAATACAAACTTCAGGGTAGCCACTAAACAAAAAAGCAAAACAGACGCACAAATAATAAATAAGGAGAACACAAAGAAACACATCATAAAAAACTACATAAGTCAATGGGTAGACCAAAACACACAAGACAAGAAACAAAGGAAATGCAGGAGAACTGGAAAAGGAGTGATAACATGACAGCATTAAGCCCTCATATATCGATAATCACACTAAATGTAAATGGACGGAATTCTCCAATAAAAAGACACAGAGTGGATTGATGGGTTAAAGAACAAGACCAAACAACATGCTGCCTCCAGGAAACTCAGATCCAATGACAAACACAGGCTCAGAGTGAAGGGGTGGAAGATGATACTCTAATGACAAACAAAAGAAAGCAGGTGTCACAATACTTATATCAGACAAAGTAGACTTCAAGATAAAACAGGTAAAGAGACACAAAGAGGGGCAGTTTATAATGATCAAAGGGACACTCCACCAAGAAGAAATAACACTTATAAATATCAATGCACCCAACACAGGAGCACCAAAGTACATAAAGCAGCTATTAACAAACCTAAGAGAAGATATTAATAAGAACACAATAATAGCAGGGGACCTCAACACTCCACTCACATCAATGGACAGCTCATCCAGACAGAAAAACAACAAGGAAACAGTGGAATTAAATGAAAAGCTAAACCAGTTGGACTTAATAGACATATATAAAACACTACATCCAAAAACAGCAGAATACACATTCTTCTCAAGTGCATACAGAACATTCTCAAGGACAGACCATATGCTGGGAAACAAGGCAAGCCTCTATAAATTTAAAAAAATTGAAATAATAACAAGCATCTTTTCCGATCTCAATGCTATAAAACTAGAAATTAATTACAAGAAAAAAGCTGAGAAAGGGACAAAGATGTGGAGACTAAACAACATGCTATTGAACAAGTAATGGATCATTGAAGAAATTAAAGGAGAAATCAAAAAATATTCAGAGACAAATGAAAATGATAACATACCCTACCAACTCATATGGGATGCAGCAGAAGCTGTATTAAGAGGGAAATTCATTGCAATACAGGCACACCTTAACAAACAAGAAAAATCCCAAATAAGCAATCTCAAATAACACCTAACTGAATTGGAAAAAGAAGGACAAACAAAGCCCAAAGTCAGCAGGAGAGAAATAATAAAAATTAGAGCAGAAATAAATGCTATTGAAACAAGAAAGCCAGTAGAAAGGATCAATGAAACAAAGAGCTGGTTCTTTGAGAAGAAAAATAAAATTGACAAACCCCTAGTCAGACATAAAAAGAAAAAAAGGGGAAAAGTTCAGATAAACAAAACTAGAAATTAAAGAGGAGAAGTAACAATGGAAATAACAGAAATAAAACAGATTATAAAAGAATGCTACAAAAAACCATATGCCAACAAAATGGATAATCTAGAGGAAACAGATAAATTCTTAGACTCTTACAATCTCCCAAAGGTGATTCAAGAAGAAACAGACAATCTGAACAGACCAATCACAAGAAAAGAGATTGAAACAGTAATCAAAAGCATCCCAAAGAACAGAACCCCAGGACTAGACAGCTTCCCTGGGGAATTCTACCAAACTTTCAGAGAGGATTTAATACCTATCTTTCTCAAGCTATTCCAAAAAATTAGGGAGGATGGAACACTTCCTAACACATTCTATGAGGCCAACATCACTCTGATACCAAAGCCTGACAAGGACAGCATGAGAAACGAGAACTACAGGCCAATATCACTGATGAACATAGATGCAAAAGTCCTCAACAAAATTTTGGCAACCTGAATTCAGCAATACATCAAAAGGATCATACATCATGATCAAGTGGGATTCATACCAGGGGCACAGGGATGGTTCAACATCCTCAAATCAATCAATATGATACACCACTTCAACAAATTGAGGAATAAAAACCACATGATCATCTCAAGAGATGCAGAGAAAGCATTTGACGAGATCCAACAGCGATTTATGATTAAAAAAAAAAAAACTCTTAACAAAATGGGGATGGAAGGAAATTGCCTCAACATAATACAGGCCATATATGACAAACCCGCAGCAAACATCATACACAACGGGGAAAAACTGAATGCCATCCTTCTGAGAAGAGGAACAAGACAAGAATGCCCACTATCACCACTCTTATTCAACACAGTACTGGAGGTGTGGGCCAGAGCAACTGGACAAGAGAAAGCAATAAAGGAATCCAAATAGGGAGTGAAGAAGTGAAAAACTCTCACTGTTTGCAGATGACATGACCTTATATATAGAAAACCCTAAAGAATCCAACAGAAAACTATTAGAAATAATTAACAACTATAGTAAAGTTGCAGGGTACAGAATCAACTTACAAAAATCAGTTGCTTTTCTATACTCTAATAACGAACTTACAGAAAGAGAACTCAAGAATACAATTTCATTTACAATCGCA